ATTTAATTCATCCACCGTGAGCATCACATTATTTTTTCTCATCTATACAGAACGCTAATAACCTTCGATCATACTGTGCAGTAGTCATGGTTCGAGCGCAAGCGTCTGCAACGCGGCACAGCTGGTGATTTGACGCGGTATTCAGTGATCCCATCAGATACGAGGTGGTTTTGCTGATGCTGTTAATCTACCATTGTTATTTCATAGTCATGTTCAGAGTACTTAGAAATCGATTAGCATGATCAGGTCTAAACCCTAATAGAACGGCATTAGCTCGCTCTTCCTTTTTTTCATGAATTGCGTGTGGTTAAGCGAATTTATCGCCGAAACTCGATATTGTTCAGAGTATGGATTTCAATTTTCGTCGTGCTTAGAATCCCGTTCTGTTCACCGACGTCGCCCAAAACCTCGTCCCCGCACCTTCCCAGGTATCGGTTGTGCCTTGTCAGGATCCCGTTTTCCTATTCGTTCTTTCTCTCTCTTCTATGATCGTCTATAATTGTGTCTGCCCTCAAAGTTGGAACCAATAGCATTGTGAAGAAGGAAACATAACGAATGTGGCTGAAATGTTGTCGTGGCATTTACTAGAGCAGCCTAATGGATGTATTGAACCAGCAGGTTTTTCTTTTCAATGTTTTTCAACCCTTGGGCTTCGAAAAAAATGATCAAGTTGGCTTTTCCCATAAACCGAACAGAAGCCAAGAAAGTGTTTTATCCAGACAGCTGCAGCAGTTCCCATGGGAGTCCCACTTTTATGTGCCTAATGAGTGTTCAGTGATGGCGACTAGCTGGCTTTAATGTTATGCTGCTCAATGGTCACGCAATTATGGAATCTTTAAGCACAAGAAACTCTGTGTTTTTAGTCATACTGTTTCAGATGTACAGCGTTATTGTTTGGATGTGTGAAGATTGAACTCTCCAATTTTTCAACATGCCAAGGTTTTTTTTTTCAGTATGAAATTACTTGCACACAAAAAGTGTCTATCGGTAGCTAGTCCATAATCATTAATTCGTTAAGGTATAACGGATATTTCGTTGCTAAACTCGAAGCTATAAGCAGGGATTTCTCTTTGAGCTCTATGATCCAAAACTACCTGATGAAAACTTTTTTCATACCTACCAAGGGCTATTCGTACAGTTCCAGTGAGTATGGTTATTTTATCAGTTTCATGACTCCCAGCTGGCAGCAGGCTCATAGTCGCTTTGTAAAGTGTAATATCTAAATGAAAGTAGCATTTTCATAAATATACTCTGCAACATCATAAATTTAGTTAGAAGGCTCTAGAACTATTTATTAGCAGTCGTCTTGCTTTGACGGCTATTACCGGACGGCCACGAATCGTGTTTGGAATGCTTTCACCCGACTATCATCTTCGTCCGTTCCAGCGTCGTCGTTCTGTGATACGATTACCAACGGGAAGTGTCATAAATAATGATCTTTATGGTCATAAACGTAGCTTTCTTCTGGAAAACAGGTTACCCTATGATCGTAGGTCTTCTGGTTTTGATGCCATAGTTTAATGTTGTCTCTCGAGTGCACAGGGAAATAGATGTGTCAGAAATGTGCGGGAAAATCAGATAAGCTGAGATTTTTATTTTCATAGCTTTCGTTTTTTGAACTTATATTTTTATACATAATTCAAATCATGGAATGTACATTATATTAAGATCAGTTCCCTTTATCAGTTAGGGAGAACATTCGTGCAGGTTTCTTTTTCGCTTGTGTTCTCTTGCTCAAGGAAAAAGCTCATCGTTACTCTTAGTTTTCTGTCTGGGACAAAAACCTGCGCAACTACCCTGTTCCAAGCAACTTCTGTCTATTGGGCCTTCATCAACGGCTTGCTCGGTATGCATCCGCCCCGGCAGTTATCTTTAATCAGCCACGTCTACATTAATCTTATAAAAGACAATAGCTGTGGTCGTTCTACTTCATTTCGTATTAGTATGGGAATCCCCCCTTCAATCTCTTGTTGCAATGGCATTGAATTGGTTTTCAGAACGAGGTTTTTCTTATGTATGCAATTAAAATAGCTTACATTCGAGTCAAGTCGCGATGTTGGACGGCTCCGTCTTGGTTGAAAACCGGTTATGTAGGAGATCTGTGATTGGTCTGTTATTATAATAGTAGAAGATCGATATCGATTCCTATCAGATGCCATAATCAGGTATTGCGACTTCGTTTCCATTCCATGACTGGATTTGGTCAAATGAAAGCTTGAAGAGTGCAGACGGTATACACAGCACTGATAGCTTATTGTCGGATTGCTAACTTCGAAGGTTGGAAGTTGGTTTACCATTGACCCAGTTTTTTTTCCTTTTGCTCGTAAGTACAGGAAGTCACAATGGATAGAACTTCATTGTCACCCACACGATTCGTGGGCCCTATCAGCCGTCAGTTCAGCTCGCATACTTGAATCCTGTCGTTTTGCCTAACCCTTGCTTGTCATAGAAAATAAAAAAAGCCACTGAATAAAACATTAGCTTTTTGAGCCACAGCAAATAGCAATCTTAATGCTTCTACCCGTCGCTATCAGCAGTGCAAGCCACATCAAGCATTCTTCATTTAGAAGGAAGCCGTTTGCATACCGTATTCAAGTAGGGTTGTTTAGAAAAGTTCACTTTACCATTGTTCTTTCTTTTCTCTTTCTTCTTTTCTTCATTTTTCTTCTTTTACATGATCTATCCTTAATTTGTTCCAGTGAAATGGCATAATTTCAGACGTTTCTGCTTGGAAGTGGTTGATCATATGTTCCATTGGGTTTGTCTAAGGTTGATGTTTATATTTGGTGACGATTTTGTAGTTTCAGATGCGTCATCGCTGTCGTGAATTATTCGGCATACACCTACTGTTTCATGAATAGAATTCGCCTAACAAGACGTGTGGAATGCCAATGTAAAGCGGTAGTTGGGCGAGTTCATGTGTCGTCAGTGTGTCCATAACGATTCAGCTAAAAAACGAGCGTACAATTACTCCAATCATCTCATCTCTGGAGGAATCGCGTCAAGCTGTTGAGTGTAAGGTTGGATTATGACAGTATACCAGTCGTATACTGAATACGCTTGAAAATAAGTGGTTCAGTAACCGGTTTATGTAAGAGGGAACACTTCGATGTCACTGCGACGGTTTAATATCGTGACGGGTCGTTGACCTATACGACAACGGTCAGCAGTGACAGTATTCGTTTAACTTCAAATGTTAAAGTAGTATTCGCTTGGTTATTTCCGGTTACTGTAGGCAAGATTCTGAAGTAATCATGAGTTATGCGTTTTACTAGACCTTCTTTATAACCGATGTGACGACTTCTCCTATGGTTGGATGTAGAATTAGGCAGAGTTGGCGTCGACGGTTTTAATTGCCTGTCATTCATTACACGTACGTCGTCGAAGAGGTTGTGGACCAGTTAGTTTCTGCATATGCAGATATGCGAATGGTTGAGATGTGAATTCTCACAACTATTATCATGTGTTCCCAATCAGTGCTTCGAAAGTTTCGCGTTATTCGTCCTATGAAAGCTGGCTGGCGCTGTAGGTAATCCCTAGCGCGACTGTGGCAATCGCTAAATAGTCTCATTGTTACTGTTAATACACCGACATCTCCAATCAGACCTTACAGTCTAATTCGATTTATTT